GATTCAAATAGACATCCAAACGAAGCAAGAAAGCCTAATTGCCCTTTGATCGCGACATGTTTTGCTGTCAATGATGTTCGGTATCACGTGTCCTAATCCCACTTCAGAACGTCGACCGGAGACTCACTTCACCAATAATCATGCAATTGACGAATGAAGATAAAAAGTTCAGCATGACCGTGTTCGTGACCAAAGTTTGTTTCATGAATACTCGGATCGGGTTAAGGTTACACGAAAGGCACTTAAAATCACACACAGGGCAAAAGTTCTGCGCGCATTCTAATGAGTTCCGAACCCTTCATAAGGCCTCCTACCGAATATATACTATAAAAAGGCAATACTTGTGTGTATCTACGCCGTTCGACCCTCTGGGACCCATTGCTCGATGGCTACTAAAAACGATAATGTTATAATTCTCATGAGAAGACGGTAGTGGAAAAAGCTGGTTACAACCACAGAATGAAAACGCTTAAGAATGTGAAACCCATCAGTAAGAAAAGCCAGAAGCTGAATAGAACACTGTCATAGAAGTGTATAGCGCATAGCTGGTAGTGTAGCTGTAGCTGACACTCAGGCGTAGGAATTTTCCCTGTGATGAACAATTTTTTGTCAATGATTTCAATTACGCACGCTAGATGGATGTACAATGAGATGGAAACCTCAGTGTTCACATAACTAGCCACTTTATTGTCTGCTGACCTTTTGACACACCTATTTATTATGTGATAAATCCCACACACCGGTTTACTCAGTCGTGACTTGTGTACACCTCAGCTTGTTCTACCTGATCTTGCTCCTGTACTTGTCCCGCGTCCGCCATTCTTATATATCTGTCTATCTAACGAGTCTGGTCTGCATGTCAGTCGTATTTGATCACAGGGGCGAGCTGTGTGAACCAATGATTGTTCTCGGTGCCAGATGACTTTGATTGGGTGTTATCACATTTCAAATTGTCTTGTTTGTGTACAATCGTCGCATTTCTCGGCGTAGTCACTTGGTTGGATTTCCTTTGCCGTCGATTTGCTTTACGCTACACTATCGATTGTGCTTCAGAGGTCTGTTTGCTCTATAACTTGAGGTATGTTATAACTATTGACTTCTTTCTGTCTAGTACCAACCCTTGTGTTCCGTTTTTTTGAACTTGGCTGCGTTTAATACGAGTCACTCAAACACGACGTCAATCCAGTATAAGCAATATAACTGGTGGGATGAAATCCTCAAGTACTTAAAAAGGGATAATATCAGTCGGGAGACACAGAATAATCCCAACCAATGCACAAAACATCTACATTTTTGCAATGAAAACGTTCGGTCTTTACACGGAACAAACAAGTTCATGAGATAGGGTTATTCTCAAACTCATTAAAACGAGTCGGAATAGATCGATTGGAGAGAGTACACGAGTTCGATCGTGCGGAAAGCTTTATTTTGAATGAGTTTTCAGCAAAACTAATCACATAAACTGAGGACGGACCGACACAAAGAAAAAATAAACATTAACCTGTTTGAGTAGTCAATTCACGGTAGACATCTTAGGACTAACAAGGCAGCGGGGCAAGGTGAGGTGTAACGAATTAATTCTACGGTATGGGTTGCATCTATCGACGCATGAAGTAGAAGCGCGTACCGAAAGATGACACCAATCTACTCAATTCACCACCAAACGCTTAGCTATTGAATTTGAGAGAAGTTGAGCAGATAAGTAAATCAGCAATAAACGCATGTACATTAAAAAACGGCTCTGTCTCAAATCACCACAAACAAATGGGAATATTTAGTATTATGGCACATATGACGAATAGAAAATTCATCTATCATACTGACCCCAACGAAATTGTTCACCGCTATTAGCACCATTTAGGAATGAAAGTAAAATATGCGCTCTCGTTGTCTTCTTCTGAGCTTACGTTTTCATCACATGTTCGGAAATCCACTGTGTGGACTGTGCAAACACTGTTGTTGACATGAAGACGTTCGGGTATGATTGCACATTAGTCCGAAAACTGCCACGTAAAATTGTTTCTGAGGAAGGAGGCAAACAAAAACTAAATAGAATAAATGGTAGGTGTTCATATATGCCAAAAGATTGATAAGTATAGAACTTTTGAGCGTTTGAACGTTTAACAACCAGTCCTGGTTTGGATTGAGACGTTACAATTAGCATTTTACTCCACGTTGCTTCGGTTTCGATTAGACCTGTATATATGTCTCAAAGTGGATCTGATTTAAGAGTTAAGAATTAGTATTGAGATAGGGAAAATGATACAGAGGTGGTTGGTTAACGAGGAACCGGTAAGCATGAATTTCCCACATCAAAAGTGGTGTTCACATCATCCATACACAAGAGAATCCATAGAGGAGAGAAACCACGGATGGCTATGTCAGAATCGTCAAAGACAGCAATGGGATCTCTATGAAGTAAGTCACAAATGTATAAAGAAGAAGTGACAGATTGTCTGGTAGTGAATTGTCATACCTCACATGTACCGAAGAAGAATAACCATCCCAAACGTCAACTGAGTCCCCAATGAGATCTTGACCGGACTGGTGACTTCAATCTGTATGCTTCAGTCGATACTCGAATAAACCTGAATTTTTGTTCGACGTATGATGTCAACAACACATTACCACTTTAATGGTCTGCAAATTATAGGACACCACCAAATTCCCATTGAGCGCTTTGATTGTGATAAAGCTCTTGACAAATCAACTAATATTTTCATTTATGAAAACCGGCCCTTTACACTTTGTATTCAATTTTCACTGAAAAATCGTAGTCGAATTGTGAACATGATAATCAACAAATCAATTCATTTGGTGGCTTTTCATTAAAATTAGTCTAATAACTGCCGAAAAATGAGAAATCGATAACCAGTGTGCGACAATTCTTGAGATGCCAAAGTTTATTCCTGTTCTGTTGTTGAGCAGATTAGCGGAGTGTCTTAATTATAATCCAGCTGTGGATATCGTTGGAGACCTAGCTAATCAAATTTGGAGTAATCTATTCGATTGTTCATGGGCACCATGCACTGTTGATGGTCGCGGTTCTAGTCCTGGCAGGAACAAAAAACGCACCACTGACGAATCCGAAACTGTACGAAGCTGATATCCGGTGCTCTTCGTTGGTTATCTTAAATACTTCCATCAAGACTTAGATGAATCCAAATCCATGTATGAAAGTCACTCACTATTCATTTCAATAATTAGGTCCTCACCGTCCAGATTTTCGAGCACACGAATCCTAAAAACTGGAATGACCTTCATTAAAAGGAAATTAGATCCTATCCTTTTGACATTTGTTTCCTTTATGGAATAGGCTTCTAGTTTATTTAACTATTTACTCCCAAATTTGACTGACCGATAAGTTGTGAACAAACATTCTAACTATACCTTACTTTGGAAGTATTCTTGGAGAATGTATGTCAGACTCCTTGAATATCATGAGATTCTATGTTACGTGATGCAGGAAAAGTCCCCGGGGTCAACCGGCTTCTCGTTCGAGGGCAAAATTCTAAACATTACACTATCAAATTTCACATACTTCCAACATTTTGGCGGTGTTTTGACATCTGGCTAGCCGTGAAGGGTCGAGTATATAATGCAGCGTTTCGGCTGATGCTGCTGTACGGTGCAGAGGTATTGCCATTACATAAGCAGGATAAAGATGGACTGGCGGTGTTCAAAAACCTCATTGCACAAGTCCGGTGGGGAAAACAGGCAAGCAATACTGAGGTTAGGAGTAGCGTTTTAGGTAATAACATTCACTCACTGAAGCAAGTGATCGATTTCCATAGGTTACCGTGAGTGGGGCATTTGTTACGCATGTCACCAAATAGGTTACCACGGCGAGCGTTGTTTGCTAAGGTAGGTAGTTGGTGGAAAATAATCAAGAGTGGTTAAACCTGACATGAGGGTATGAAAACCCCAACAAGGGTACTCGGTCATGCAGATCGCGTTAGGCTCCCTGGATAGAGACCTCAGCATCATTGCAATCAATGGTCAGAGACAATGAATTATATATGTGTGTCATAAACAGTGGTGTTCGTCAATCTACACAATTTACTTACAATCTCATCCTAGATGAACGCTCTATTTTCACCTTGACACTGACATGAACATTCCGAATTTCCCAATCTTCCAGTGCCTTGTGAATCAGGGTAGCGAAATATCGGTCGGTTTATCGATAGAACATAGTGTTGAGGGTTTTTAGTGGTGAGTTAAAAGCAAATGATCACACGTCACTGTCTGGGAACTGCATCATGATTTTACAGATGTGTGTAGTCGCTACAGAATGGCTGGCAAAACTGGAGACTATCATTGTTCAGAATAAGACGGAACACCCAACAGATGAAGTGGCTGTGTCCATGAAGTATACAGTGTTTTGCACGCACTCACAGTGCTATCACCACTTTTGATCAAGTCAGTTGTTTTGATTTGCTTAAGACATTGTGATTTAGAACACACTGAATATTGTCCTCGTGTGGATAAATGTCAGGTGTTAATCTAGTGGTACTTATTTATTGTTTGAGATCTGAAATGAACAGGACACTTCGACTTGCATCAACTGAATAAGTGAACATGGTGATTTCCCGCCACCTATTTCCATAATCATCGATATACATCCGTTCACAAAGTTTAGAGTTAAAATACTACAACCATTTTATCACTTGCATAACAGAAAAGCTTGCTTCCAAGCAACCGAATGCCACATTTTTTCCTAAGAATTTCTTTGATTCTAGTCTATAATAATTTCAGTTGCTTAGGTTTCCCATCTACCACAATCTACCCAGTAGATCCAAATAACTGTAGGGTCTGTCAAATCAGAATTAACGATGAAAAGTAAAGCATATAAAACGAATGTACAATATCCGTAAACTGTTTCTATCTAAATACTGTCTTTCACAGCTTGATAAATCTTGTATGACTGACAATTCCAAGAGGTGAACTTAATCTCGATAATGTGGACCTGTTGAATTATTTCATTATGCAAGTAAAACTGTATGATGTAAGTAGATCTATTTAATATCAGTATGTATGAAGATGTTGATCAAACTCATTTCTCTTCTCTGGTTCACCCCTGTCGTTTTGAAAACTTTCCAACATCTCAGGCTGGACACGATCGCCAAATTACTACATTCGCATCCTCTGGTGCTGGACGGTAGCTCCCGACTGTACACCACATCACTTATCGATCTAGACCCGATTCGAACTGGGCGAGCTGAGTCCGGTTCCCCTTATAACGATGCCACATCCGAATGGGATAATATTAATGCATCCCCAATGCTATTCCGCGAGAATAGCTATCCGGACACGAGCAATATGGGGTCCAAGGTACAAGGATCTCCGACTGTGGTTGGATGGCACAGACAACAACAACAACAACAAAATCCGGTACGTTTACGAATCATCACTATTGTCTACGCCATACATTCAAGTCTATAAGATATCGCACTCTTCGGGTAACTGACAAAATGAAAATTTTAGAGTTATTGTTTGTCTGAAAACCGGAAGCGATCAGTAGTATACTTAATAAGACTTAATAAGACTTAATAAGAAAATTTGATTCGTGGATCCTTCCCAATATCTTCTCAAACAGGGTTTCAAAATTTACCGAAAGAAGAAACTTCAGAAACACAGTACACCATAATTAGATGATGCATAATTTAAAACTAATTGGGATATAAGGAAAAAAACTTTCGGTAGATTTTCCTGTGTAGTTATCCTACTTTCTAATTGATCTCCCTGACAAAATCCCTAGAGTATCACTTTGCTTCTTTATCACACAGGGTCAGTACCAAATCAGCACAGAAAACTGAAACTGAACTTATTACTACAAATCAGGAGATTTTGAGAGCACAGACGGCATTAAACTTTATTTTACTAAAATACCGCACCGATACAAATTTGCCGTTCCTAAAGCGTCTCCTGATTCTGTCTGTTTCGACCCAACGTTTTTAACGGTTCAGATTTTGAATCCAAAATGACAGCTCTAATGAACTGTTGCAGTCCATAAAGTTTATTCACCCTAACGTATCATATTTTGGATACAAAAACACAGGATCCTTGTCGTTTACCAATTTACCACTCCATAAAATGTAATTTATGAGGCAAAAGGTTTCGATATTTCTGTAATCCATAACTGATCAAAAATCGATGTTCTGGGTATCATCACAGCAATACCATCATCCGCTTACCGTTTACACACCACCGAAAGGATTCCATTCATGTAGCAGATGAACTTATTTATCGTAGGCAGTGTGTAATTCGGGTGTAAAAATGTTAGTAAAAGCTGAAAACACCCAAATGGTCACGAAACGTGCTGACTTTTAAAAGTCAAGAATGAATTTCGACGCTCAAACACACATGCCACGAGGTTTCGAATAGTGTGAGATTAGAAAGTGTTGCACTTATGAAGAATATCAGTCTTTAATTATTTGACAATAAGGATGCTTTTCTATTATGTCACTTTCATTTTATTGAATGTATAATTGTACAGATAATTTTTATTAAGGGGTGGCCGTCAGTCATTTACTCATACCCGTACAACCAGTTCTACAGTAGATCCCAGGTAGTGTCGATGAAGTTCGATTCCGGTCTGTGGAGTGGTCAGTCTACCGTGTTGATGTTCTGGCTCATTGGTCCCCTTCTAATTCAGTAGGCGGTCGGTTGACAGAAAACAACGGTTCGTAACTGCTTCTCTGGTCTATCAGGAAGAACAAACTTGATTACAATTTTGACACATGTCAACAGTCTGAATTGATTTCAGAATTACCAATTCAAGCCTTGCATTCGCAAAATTGTACTCAAGATCACGGCGGGATCCCTGCCTTAAGTTGTACGTCTCAATATCAGATTGTTCTTACGCAGATCAGACCACTAAAGCAGCAGTCAACTGGGGTCATTGTGAATGAATTTTATCTCTTTTCTTTCAGAAGTTTAGTCGAGGTCACTTCTAACCCAAACTTCTTGCTGATCAGCATGACTGTATTTGTATCCATTGTACTGATTTACTGTTTCTGAAATTTCAGTGTACTCTTTGATGCTTCGCGCAATCATACCCATGTTTTTGGACTGCTTTGATTCTGATGAGCTTCACTCAACCCTTAGGCTATATTTTGTGCATTAAGTAGAAATCCACTGTTAAGTTCCACGTTTATCCTTAGATTCCTACAACTATAAGCTCCCCAAAATAGTTTCATCTCAGATAGCCTTAAACAAATCCATATTAGTCTGTTTCAACAATCTACAGAAACAAGAACTCAAACACTATGCCTAGCTCCAATGAACCTTTTTCTTTTATTCAGAGAAATGGGTATATATATATATATATATATGTCAATCAACATGATGAAACCGGGCATCATCCATCACATGACTGACTAGTTCAATTTATTTGATACGCTTATGAGTTGAGTTTATAGTATTTTTATACGCCAGGGTGCATATTTTTAATACAGATACGTCGTTATCGTAATTAATTGTCATTACCGTACTGAATTTAATCCACGCGGGAATTCGCTTAAATAAAAATTATGGACAAACATAATGGAGTTATTAGCGTTTTTCTCACGTCGATCAGGCAAGCGCACATATTCTATTACGCATTTAATGATGGGAGCAATATTTTCTTGCTCTGTTCCTCATGCGTGTACCGGGGGTAATAATTGGAAAGTATTCATTGTTGATTACCTGACTGGATGACAGACATGAATTCGCGGACAAGGATTGTAACCATTGTTGTTCTAAAGAGGACCACATTTGGGTCAATTATTATGCTATTTTTCTTCAGCATCACCGGGGATGATAGAACAACCAGAGGTGGAACAACTGATTATCGATGCACAATGCACGTGCAAATACATTTTTAATCTATGAAGAATCATGTATACCTCATGTGTGGGAAGAAATTCAGGCGATACAAGTGAACCAGAAGCAATATTCATTCACTGTTCGGTTTCTCACAGGAAGTCAGGTCATTGTAGAAGTTTAGACAATATACCATCAATTATATTAACAGGGTGCCCAGCATAATGACTGCTCAATAAGCTGGATGATGTGAAATCCCAGGTTTGTACAAACTGTTTTTATTCAATAAGTCTGTAGTTTATTTTCAGGAAAAAGGCTGTGTCTGAATAAAGCTGCCTGGGAGAAGATACGAAAATGAGCACAGAAATTCACCTAATCCAAACGAGAGGAAACGTGAATCGGAAAGTGGATCGGAATGATAGTTCTCTTCAGCAGAATCAGTAATATTGATTCATTTACGCCTAGGAGGAGCTGTCCCGGGACCTGAAACAGACAGGACGCAAGAAAGGAAAACGGTGGTTCATAAGTTATTTGTAAGTATATAAGCTCATCTTAGTTATACAAAAGCAAAATATAAATTAAAGATTATTCAACACCAGGCAGTTTCTAAGCAGCAATATAAGAATGAATGTCGGGGGTAAATAAATGACCTAACAAATGAGCACTAGAGATTCATACCTAAGAAGCGCAATGATCATAAAACCGACCTTGTACTTTCGTGGGCCTTCATCCAGTGATTACTGTCTATCATGAAACTGAAAAGAAAAGAGTTGGTGGGCGAATTGTTGCTTCCGGATAGTTCTAGTCATAATTTTACATAGCAGATGGTAGAAACACGCGTACAAAATGACAGCCGTCGGCTCGAATTCAGGTTAGTAATCGGAAACAGAGGATAGCGGATATATGCGCCAGAGAGTGTGGAAGAACATTTAGTGTTCTAGTCGATGTGACGATTCATCACTTGGGTCATGTTCTTATTTAGTTTTCACTAGGCAAAGCGATGGAACCAGTCTTTTTGATGATGGCGATGGCAATCTGTTCGACCTCTGCTGGGGACAACTTCTATAAGTACCGAGGGGTTTACACACAACCGTGGTCCATTATGGGTTAGTATGTATGTGATTTGAGGAGATTCAGACAGAACAAAGACGTCAATCTACATAGACCAAATAAACGTACCATGGTGGTTATAATCAGAGACGATTGTGTTGGAAAGTTTTTGTAATCATTTTGGATGGTAAACACTTCTTGAGATGCAACAGAGAAGTTAGAAGACCAGCCTACAGATCTATTGAAAGTAATAAAGATGCACGAATACATACATACACAAAACAACATTCGACTGACTTAAAGCATTGTTAGCCACCAACCCATGATTGTATGGTCTCCCTAAGATGCACACAGAAAGAGTTCCACTTCGACCAATTATGGCAATGGTCCATTTTCCAGTTTTCAACCGATGTAAAAAACCGGAGTTTGCAAGACAAGACTATGTTATCCTTGGATGCCGTTTCACTGTTCACCATTGTACCCTTGATGGAGACTAGAATTCACCTGTGACCCCAATATAATTACTAAATCTAGACGTTGGTATTCTGGTTACAGATCTGAAGGAGTTGTTGCCACGTTACACAGGTAAATTCCAATTTTTAATTACTTTTTATCTATCTATCTATCCATCTATCTATCTATCTATCCATCCACCTATCTTTCTATCTATCTATCTTTTGATGGTTGCTATGGCATCCGGCGCACCCTTCGATTGGCTGCGCCACCCTTAGATGCCCTCCTCTACACTGCTGGAATTTTTGCATTTGCAATCAATATCAAACGTCATTTCTACTCACGGGATTACATTATTTGTCTCAAACATGCCAGGACATCTTTTGATGATTTATCGGCTTGTGCGACTACATTTTCTCACTGTCCGGTTTGGAGAAAAAGCGCAAACGCACTAGCTGGTAAGCTACCCTAATTGCACCCGTTTGGTCAGAATGACTGTTCCGTCATTGGTCAGCATTAACACCCGGCTTCTGTTTCCAAAATGTAGAATTTAACCAGTGTCCTCCGTTCTAGAATACAATGGAAAACTTGTGTTGTCTGTACAAAAGAATCCCAGCTGAATAAGGATATAGATGACAGTGCAGGTTCGATGTTCAGTTTCAATGTATTCAGCCATAAACCATGCNGCCCTTTTGTGTGACTGTTTTGGTCACCCATATTGGTCGAGTATGGAGAAGAGTACAATGCGTGAACCGCAGCCAGTGTGGACATAGAGAATTTAGGTATACCATTGTTGCGAAGGCCTTGAGTAAATGCATACGCACCACTGCTTAAGGCATTCAGTCACATCAATCAATGTATATAAACCTCGGTTGGATTGATCCCGAGGTTCCCAACCAGACGGCCTGTATGAGAGAAACCATTGGTCAGAGCTTTCATATCCATATGTCACCTTTTAGCTTGACAACCTTTGGTCATCGTCTATCCATTACTTACCTCAGTAAGCATTACACACTCTGATAGTCTATTTGCTGACATGTGTAACACAACCAGCTAACGTATTTTGTTGAGGTCGAGCACTT